AGTCAGAGGGCTGTCAAAATGGCAGTCCTAATTACAGCAAGAGACTTGGAGAATATTTTGTGAGTGTAAAACATTTAATTGTGTCTAAAATGCATGGAGGAAGAAGAAAGTTTTGTGTGTGGAAGGGCAGCATTACAGCTGGGCCAAGGCAGAGATCAGTTTAGTCCATGTCTATCAGCATGCTTGGCTTCTTCATGTCCCATTCTTGTAACTCTGTGGGGTAGTTAAACCTTCATCTGCAATTTATTGAGAATGTAGGAATTTTCATTTGAGTAATGGATGGGAACAGGGAAATATTTTGCTAGGTTCCTGTTTAAGAGACCCTTGTTTTGGTTCATGAGAATGAATGCAGATCATGAGGGATTTTTTAAAGTAGGAGTACAAATTCTTCCAGTTTTGTCCATGAATCAGAAAGTGATTCAACAGGACCAGGGGAAACAATCATTATATGTGTATGTTATTCCAGAATTTTCCATTTGAGGTAGTTAAGGTCTTTGTCTGAAAGAAAGTTTAAGAAGAAAGTTTAACTTCTTGTAAGGAGGAGCAGCTGCTGGCTTGATCTGGTATGTGATCTGATGATGCTGCTTTTTCTTACCCAAGAATTTGAGTGCAATGGTGCAAGTTCAGGGTGTTATTTTCCAAGTGGTGCTATGGAAGAAAGATGCAATCCAGCTGAGCTGAAGAGAGCATCAGAAGTGTTGTTTTTTTCTCACGAGTAGGTTTTTTCCCCTCTTGTACCTGCTATTTGTGCAGCTCCTTTACTCCTTCCAGACTGAAAATATCTGTGAGGACAGGCGGTCACTAATACGTGTGATAAAATTATCATTCTTTTCAAGTCTCTGTCTATAGAGGAAAAGAAAGGAGAGAATCGTTTGAAGAAATATTGATGGCAGTAGGCAGCTATGCAAATTTTCCCTGGTCTATTTAAACTTACACATTGCTTTTAAATATAATTCTGAACTTGCCTAGTCTACAACAAGGTCAAGAAACAGAGAAATGTACCCTGTACAGATTATTTCAGACACGAGGCAGCCTGTATACATTTTCGCCTTCCCACTCATACCCCAGCATCTTGCTGTTCTGTGTTTTTAATTCTCTTGCGTTGTAAATAGGAAACAAAAGAACTTGGTGCTTTTTCACACTATTGCAGATGGATAGACTGGAGCAAGTAGAATAATGCTGGACTTTGTGCTGAATTAGATAAAAACTCATGTTAGTGTATTCTGTGCTTCCAACATCCAGAATTATGGACTTCACAGGGCTGAAAGAAATGTGAAAATGTGAAGTATCTAAATGAGGCTGGAAGGGCTTTTGCAAAAGGTTTGCTCTACTACAAAGCAAAGCTTTGGTCTTGGTGGAGAAAGGACATGATGAAATGGTTTGTCCTGTGAAAAGAAGAGGTCAGACCAGATGAGCAGAGGTGTAACCTTGGATGCTAAAATGTATGTCTTCTTTCTTTCACACGACATTGATGATCTCACCAAGGTGGAAAAGGAGGATTTGAAAAAGTCATAGTTCTTCCTTTCTATTTATTTTTACAGCAAAAGGATTGCTGTTGTTTGGTGTATGTCTTACTGCTCTAGCTCCTTGTGGTACATCTTCCCTAACTTCCCTAGGCATTCTGCATTTGTGTTTAATGCAGGACAGATGCTTTTCTTACCTAAAGCAGTGACAAGGGGTTTCTTACCAGTTTTGCTTTTATCAGAGGAGAGGCATTTTTAAACCTGTTATTTTTGTGAGTGAGATCACTCAGCCTGCAAAGCACCATGGAAAAGGATTTCTAGAGACTGCATGAGGCCATCTCCTACCATTGCTAGACCCTGGCTCTTCTCCAAAACCTCATCTAATCACTGCACAGATAAATGCCCTAAAGCTTAGTAAGGAAACCTTGATTCATTAATCATCAGCCATCAGAAAGGTCACAGAATCACATAGTGGTTGAGGTTGGAAGGGACCTCTGGAGGTCATCTTGTCCACCTCTCTGCTCAAGCAAGGCCCCTTACAAGCAGTTGCCTGTGACCATGTCCATACAGATTTTGAATATCTTCAAGGATGAAGACTCCACATCATCTCTGGGCAACCTGTGAACATGACTGAGCACTAGCACACTAGAACAGTGCTTCCTGATATTCACATGAAACCTCTTGTGTTTCATTTTGTGCCTGTTGCCACTGGCTCTGTAACTGGGCACCACTGAAAAGAGCCTGACTGTCCTTTTTGAACCCTCCTTTCAGTAATGTGTACACATTACTAAGAACTGCCCCCTCAAGACTTCTCCAAGCTGAACAGTCCCAGCTCTCTTAGCCCTTCCTCAGATAAGAGATGCTCCAGTCTTTTAGTCATCTTTGTGGCCCTTGGTTTGACTATCTTCAGTATGTTCATGTCTCGTACTGGGGAGTTCAGAATTGGGCCCAGTACTCCAGTTACTGGACTTATCAGTGCCTCACCAGAGTAGATGGGATAGATCACCTTCCTTGACCTGCTGCCAGTACTTTGTCTAATTTGTCCAAGGATACTGTTCACCTTCTTTGCAGCACAGACACATTCAACCTGGTCCCCCCAGGACCCCCTGGTCCTTTTCTGCCAAACCACTTTCCAGCTGGGTGTCCCTCAGCATATATTGGTGCATGGGGTTGTACCTTCTTAGGTACAGGACTTTGCACTTGTCCTTGCTGCTCATCATGAAGTTCCTGTCAAGAGTTGGAGTCGCTGACAACACTGAGATGTGACAAATGAGAGGGATTGGGATTGTATCCAGCAGTTTGTCTGTGGTGGCTTTGGCTTTGCTGAACAGTTTTCCATCACTTTCATATCAACTCTGTGAGGCAGGATTACAAACTAAAGCTTGGAGACTGGCCCAAATTTCTCCTCATGAGCCCACAGAGAAGTGTCTTTCCAGGGGAAGAGGACACTGAGCGTGTGCATGTGTGCATAAGTACCTGCCTAGGGTCTGGAAGTGGGTGAAAAACTTCCCAGAGGAGACAGGTCCTTTTCTCTGTTCTTGCTGTGTGATTGCAGCATGCCAGAAAAATCACCTGGGAGTACCATGGCCTCCAGCAATTACTAGAAATGTTGGGACAGAGCTGTCATGACACTGTTGTCATGCTCTCTTGCTCTTTGAAATCACTAGTTAAGAAAGATAAAGAATGGTTCTGATTTTTGTCTTAAAGCTGTCTCCTTGATGCAGTTTTGTAGACAATTAGGAAAAAGAAAAGTGCAAGAATTTTTTCTGGAAGTTAATAGTTCATACTCAGATCACTGTAGTCTTTCTTGACCTTGTTTAATGCTAAAAGTGCATGTTCCTAATTGAATATCCCTGTAAGCTCCAGAAGTATGAGGCATATCCAAAGCTCCAATTTAAAGTTTACATTTGAAAAGTTAATAAAATGCTTCTATTTTTTGCCTTTTCCCAGTGAATCTTTTATGTGCATTTTTGAGGTCATATATAAATAGCCAGACACAAATGTTTGTGCTGTGCTGGTGGTGTATCATGATATTTTGAGCTGTTCTATTTGCTAAATGCTGAACAATGGATTTAAATTCACATGAATGCGATATATATGTGGTACATGGCAAAGCCAAACTGCATATTTTTTTTTCTTGAAGTTTTATTATCTTGTCTGTTCCCTGTCCTTTATTTTATCTACCCAAGGGCTTCACTTAACTTTCCAAGTCCCTGACTCCTGTCAGACAACAGGCCTTTAAAAGTAAACCTAGAACTGGCACAGGTTATCCAGAGAAGTTGTGGGTGCCCCATTCCGGGAAGTGTTCCAGGCCAGGCTGGATGGGGCTTTGAGCAACATGGTCTAGTGGAAGATTTCCCTGCTCATGGCAGGGGGATTGGAACTAGATAGTCTTTAAGATCCTTCCACCGAAAACATTCTGTGATTCTACAGGGGTTCTAACAGAAATATTGTGTTTCCTTTCTTGGATATGAATATTTTTCCCAATTTTTACCTACTCAGCATTCAAGTTAAATAAATGTAAAATCTTCCTCTGAACCCATTTCCTGTCCATAACTTGTTTGATATTTTATCCACACCTCTCTAGTAAAAAAAATGATATTATACTGGGCTGAACTGAATGCTGAGCATCTCCTACAGTGTCCTTGGGAGTTGTTTGCTTCCTGCAGATATTTGGATCTTCAATTTTCTTGCTTAACATTGAGGTGCTACACTGTTTAAACCCCTGGTATTTTCTTTGCTACCACCCATCTACCCTAGCCATTGGTGCACCTAAGCCACCTACCACCTTTGGGTGTTTTTGCAGCAGTAACAACTTGATGACATGTTCCTGGGTTGGTGCTGCTGTCAGTAACAAACTCTGATTGCTCCTTGCAGAATGCTACAGAAAAAGTCCCCCAGGGGCAGCCCAGTGTGTGGGTCTCAAGCTGCAATTAAAGCAGCTGTTTATCATTACTATAATAGCTAAATGTATTTCTTAATGCCATTTAAAATCGAGTTCTTAATCTGTCTTTAAAGTCTTAATGACTTTTTTTTTCCTGAACCACTATTGCTGATGCAGTCCTGAATTTATTTTTCTTTCTGAAGTTTAGTTGGGGCAAGAAACAGTAAAGACCAGAGGATCAGACTTTTAGGGCTGCTCCAGTGGCTCTGAGTCAGCAGGAGCCTTTTTGTAGCTGGGGAGGATATGTGCAGATTTGGGAAGCCTTTGCATTAACTTCAGTGGCTTAGAATTAGATTTCAGCAGTGTAGTAAGCCACCAGAAGGCTCAAAGCACGATGTGATCCCCCTAACACATTGTCTCCAGAAGGCACAAGAATGTTTTGATTTTGTTCACATTTACCCATGGTTGCCTTGAAGGAACAATATTTTTTCTCTTTTGCAAGGTCTTTAAGCCTGGAGCCTGAAGCTGTTCTGTGCAGCAATTCAGAGAAACTATTCAAGTCTGAGACTTAATATCAGCAAACACGAAGGAGATTTACAAGCAGTGAATGAGGCCTAAGTACCTTGTGACACGATTTCCTTCTTTCCCTGCAGGTTGGACCAAGTTTGCTCGGCTGACACGGGCGCTGACCAACAGTCGGAGTGTGCTGCAGCAGCTGACGCCCATGAACAAGGCTGAGGTGGTGCACAAGCACTCCCGGTTAGCTGAAGTAAGTGGGACAGACACCAACCTGCTCCCTTCCTAAGGCAGGAAGAGATGGGGGAGATGGAAAACCGCCACCCTATTTCCCATTGATACATAATAATCTTAGAGATGAATATTTCCCAATTCTGATTTTTTCAGCTTCTCCTCTGCTCATCCAAAAGCAGCACTATGTGCCAAGCCCATGTTTCTGGGACAGGTCATGATCTTTCAGTCATAAAAAGTCTCAGTAGGTTACTTTTACTTACATGACCCTATTTCTGTGCATGCAGTCCTCAGTTTGCTGGTTGTACCTTAACTTGGGGTGCACAGTGTGCTTTTCTGCATGCTGTCTCACAGTGACGTGGAGCCAGGCTTGATGTCTTTGAGCCCTGTGGATGTTTGCTTCCTCTCCCAGGGAAATGGGATTGTTTGAGAAACCTCTTTGGAAGGATCACTGTCTGGGTCCCTGGGGTTGTACAGGCACATGGACTACATATATACCCTAATCTTGACTTTCTAGCAAAGTTATTCCTGCAGTATTTTTGCTCATCATTTTTGTCTTCAGAACTGATGAAATGAACTCTTTGGCAGGTTGCAAACATCTCCTTAACAGTGCAGATGGTGCAACAAGTGAATGCCTTCAGGTTAACTGATGAAACAGAGGTACTGTTTTCATCTTCATGTCCGTTGGTAGTGAAAAATAAATGGTTCAAAAATATACAGTCAAAATATATGGGCTACTGAAAATGACAGCCCTAGCCAACTTGTGTCAGAGAGCTTGTCCTTGGTTTGATGCTAAGAACTGGTGTTGATTTAAATGTTTGGGGTTTTTTTTTCATTCCCTTTCTGGTTTTTGTGGACTTTGATAATAAAAATGCAAATTAAAATCAGAATGGAAACCCACAGTTTTCAGTTGCTGGCAGTGTTTTCCCTTGAATGATCCCATACCAATACCTTGGATAAATGCTGAATTACACCACTTGTTTTTCTAATTCATGATGTTTCAGTGTTCTGTAAATCCAGTTATAGCCATTTTTGGTTTAGTATAGAGAAGGGAAGACTGGAGAAGATATGATAACATTATTCAAAAGAGTCTAAAGCAGCTGCATAGAATGAGGGAGGAAATTGTTCACCAGGGCCACTGTAGTGAGGGAACAAGTAATGGCATTACATTGCAGCAGGAAAAACTCAGGTAAGGGAGTAGGTGTGCTCAGGAATAGGTAGGATAAGGTTGTACTCAGGAATACTTGCTTGAAGAGTGTGCAATCTCCTGTCTTACAAGTATTTGTAGGCAAACTGCTGTAAGGAATACAGACCAAGTGGAGTTTCACTATTGCAGTGAGGCCTCGTTTTCAAGTATTATCATCACAGCTTATCCCTTGCAGAATGTACTGTTCACCTTTATCAGGCTTCACAGCTGTCAACCATTTTCATTAGCCTTACACAAAAATAATTCAGAGAGCCTATGGTGAATGCAGCTGACTAACAAGATATTGTGTATTCTTTAGTGATTTAAAATTAAAAATTCATGCAGCATGAAAGTAATAATCATTATAGTTCAGTGGTCTCCACAGCCACTTGCCACCCACTCACCATGTCAAACTCAGCATGATATTATGTTAAGAATAATAATTATGCTTTTGCAGTATCATGGGAACTCCTAAGCACTCCACCACCAGAGGCACAAGGAACTATCAGGCATATGTTAATCGCATTCAGCTTGAGCCCTAAGTAGCTTATTATTTGAGCTATAGTGAGGATCTTTCCAGCTCCTGCCCCAGTGAACAAAGCAGGGAACAAATAGGTCTGGAGAAACCAAGGAAAGAAGTCCCAGTGCTGATATATCATCAAAGCATTGAACACTGATGAGTCCAAAGAGATAACTGGAGATAACAACCAGATTATGAGGCAAAGCCAAAATGGTGTCAGTGCAGGGGAAAATTTTGGCTTTGAAAGAAGTTTTATGGGTTTTCACAAAGGTTGCTGTGAAATAAAATGACTGTATCAATCATTGCTTTAATTCCAGTGAAGAAAACATGGATACACCAGCAAGTTCAGTGTGCCTCAATGGCCAGCTGAACTTTGCCTGTTGGGTGATTATAGGAGCATAGAAGTGCTGTTAGTCTGTCCAGGTCACTGGTGAGGGGACACCTAGAGTTTGATATTTTTGTGGGTCTCACCAGGGGTTTGGTGTCTGTGAGGGTCTCGAACAAGTGCCATTGGAACCACACTGCTCTGTGTGCATTGCTCTTGAGCTGGAGCTCAACACACAGATTTATGTTACACCAGGGCTGGTGTGATACAAGGCTGTTGGCTAAGGGAGCAGCCATAGGCTCCTGGAGGTCTCTGCTGCACTCTCACTGCTGCCTGGGTAGTGGGTTTAGTGCTTTTCTGGCCATGGGGTAAATTTATATAATTCAACTGACTGTAGAAAACAAAAGGCTAACAAATGTAATAAGTGAGCTTTTTGTTATATCAGTTTAACTGATTTTCCTTACAGGTGGTGATTGCTAAATATGATGCTAGGGAGGGTGGGAACAGGTAGGCAGAAGCAGGTTTGCATCCTTTCAGCCTGACATTGGCTCAGATTAGACATGTTGGGAAGCCACATCCCCCAGCACAGAATGAAAGAGGTTGCTATTGGTATCCCTTGGTGATTTCTAAAGAACAGATTTTCATCAGAGCCAGACTGTTACTGTCTGATCTCAATAAAAACTTTTGCATCTTAAAAACAAGACTGCAAGAATTAACAAAGAATTTGTGGTGCTTGAATTCATATTGTTAGCTGTTGTGCAGTTTATTCAGAGTTGTTTACTCCTCTTCATCGAGGAAGAATCCTGTGTTTGATCAGTTTTACACATGTGAGACTGCTGTTTGCCATCCATCTGTCCCTGGAAACATGGTGCATCTGCTCCAATATGGGACAGGTGTAGGGCTGAAATGAGTTTTAAAATTGCTGTTAATGTTTATTTTATCCCATACAGACTTGAGATCCCCAAATGTAAAAGGTGTTATTAGTTTCAAAATACCCATGGATCTTTCAGTTGTCAGGGCAATATATTGCCACGTGTGCATTCTTTGTGCTTTTGTTTCTTGTGTTGGACTGAGATAAGAGGTAATTAGATTAGTTGGGAGGAATGTCTTAAGTGAATTTGGCTTGGTTCCTTTGCAGTGTTTCCCATTCCACATTTTACAACTGTGAGCATGCAGGAGATTATACTTAGATGCAAAAAAATGAGAAGTAATTAAAGGAACTAAAAGAGAACCCACTAGTGATATTGAGCTTGTAAGAGCAACAACTTTTTTTGAAGAAAATTGGAAGGAAGCATGTTATTTCCAGGGTGTTAGTACAGAAGTTGTGCACACAATGCTTCATTTTAGGAGGTCAGCCAGCACGGCTGGAGACTGGTTCACCTTTGATAGGGTGTTGCTCTGGCTCAACAGTGGTTTAAAAAAGAGGTCATGCACAAAGGATTAGTCTTGTAACACTTCCAAATATGAATGCTGATGTTTATGTTGCATATTAAGAAGCAATTGTTTACTGTGAGGGTGGTGAGGCACTGGCACAGGTTGCCTAGAGAAGTTGTAGGTGCCCCATCTCTGAAAGTGTTCAAGAGCTGGTTGGATGGCGCTTGGAGCAACCTAGTCTAGTGGAAGGTGCCCTGCACACAGCAAGAGGGTTGGAACTAGATCATCTTTAAGGTCCCTTCCAACATAAACCATTCTGTGATTCTATATTCATAACTGCAGAGCGTAAGCTGATGTGGCAGTACCCACAGCCTGTTTATGAAGCCCCTCTTCCCTTGCTGTTGGCATGGTTTCCCCTCAGTCCATTGGAAAAGACCTCCCTTTTTGCAGGAATATCCTTAGTGCTGTGCTGCACCCCATACACCAAGTGATTGCTGCCTCCACACACTCTAAATCAATAAGATAATTTAGAAACTGTGGGTTGACTTGCAGTGTCCAACAAACACAGTCCCGTCTTTGTGCTGCTCCTTACAGAAATCCGTAAGACCCTTTATTGGATCATATTCATTGAAAACAGCAGCATTTATTTCTCTGTCTTTTACAGGTTCTCCAGCTGGGATCTGATATTCTTCCTCAGTACAAGCAAGAAGCTCCAAAGACTCCACCACACATTATACTACACTACTGTGCTTTTAAGACCACCTGGGACTGGGTCATCTTAATCCTAACCTTCTACACAGCAATTATGGTTCCATATAATGTGTCCTTCAAGACAAAACAAAACAACATTGCCTGGCTCGTGCTGGACAGTGTGGTGGACGTTATATTTCTGGTCGACATTGTTTTGAACTTTCATACAACCTTTGTTGGTCCTGGCGGAGAGGTCATATCTGATCCCAAACTCATACGGATGAACTACCTGAAAACATGGTTTGTGATTGATCTTCTGTCCTGTTTACCATATGACATCATCAATGCCTTTGAGAATGTGGATGAGGTAAGTGATTGCAGTTTGTCTCAAGAGGATTATTTTAATTAGGGATTAATTTAGAAGCCTGTTCCCAGGCATCTGGAAGCAATGAGAAGCAACTCAAGCTCTGTGCAAATACATGGGGATGGCCTTAATCTTTTGGGCTTTACCTGTAAGATATTCCTGTGTGGGAGAAGATGTGTCTTCTGATTTCAGTACCATGTGTGGATGTTTACCTCAATGATGTGGGGTTTAGACTTGCTTGGTGGTCATCCAAAAACATTGATGCAAGTCCATATCTAAATGGGCTGGACCAGTTGGGATGTGCCCTGTCATAGCCTCCCTTTTCAGCTCACACCCAGTGTTTGCCTTTGTGCAGACCTAATCCAGGCAGGGCTTGATGCAAATAACAACAATTCTGTATCTGCTCTGGCTGAAGCCGGTGGCAAATTTACCACTGACTTATAGAAAAGTAGAGAATGACTCTGAGCATTTTTTAAATGGTTCTCTAGGATTACGTTCTGAATCGGACTGTAATTTTTTTTTTTTTGTGATGTAATTTCTAATGTCTGATTTGGATTTTTTAAACAGTTCTTCAGCTACTGCTGGAATTTTAGAAACTGTTTAAGGAGAGAAAGCATAAATATCTTAAATGGATGCTGAATTAAAGGTTTTTAACTGCTAAATGTGTTAACATTTATGAAATCCAGCTTGCAGCCTAAGCTAATAGAGAAAACAAGCAATAACTATGACAAATAATGCATGCACGAGTCAGTGTAGAGAAATTCATTATTAAAATGCAACTATAATGGCATTAGGACTTGTTCTAATTTTTCTCTAGAGCCTTTTATCTTTAGGGCCATAAACAGATGAAAAAACCTCTGTTCATATTTTGACATTTTAGGAGTTTTTTCCTAGAACACCGTTGAGTGGTTTGTTTGTTTTTTTTAATTCTCAAATTCTGCACTTGTATATCCTCACTATATAAAATCAACATCCTTATTTTTTAATGCAGGCTTTGCTGAAAATTTCGTAGAGCTCCTATAAAATTCCATCCCTATCTCAGTGCTGAGTACCATCTTTTGACATCGTTGCATTTTATTTATAGCAAATATGACAGAAGTGATAATACTTGCAGCTTAAATTCAAGATCATATGAGGGCTGCCCATCTGAAAGCAGGTTGTAGAGTCAGGCTGTGTAAGAAGGTGGTATTATCAAGGTTGTAAATAATACAGCTTTTTAAGATAATCAATCTCAGAATCAGGGGAACCTGATTTTTATAATAATGCAGCATTATCTCCTGAGTGTTGTAAATAATACAGCTTTTTAAGATAACCAATCTCAGAATCAGGGGAATCTGATTTTTATAAGAATGCAGCATTATCTCCTGAGTTTTGTGCTTTAATATGTAAAACAAAGAGAAAATTTCAGTGCCCAAGCAGTACAGATTTACACAATGAGCTTAGTCTCTGTCTCTAACATATAGGTGGGAAATCAACCATCTGCAATATTTGTGACAGGGAAGAGAATCTTGACAAAGTGCATTGTAACAGAGACACACCTAAAGTGGAAAATTTAGCCAAATGTAATTACAATAACAGGGCATCATGAACTCCAGTGACCCTACAGATGCTTTCATTTGCCTTCAAACAAATGAAACATTAACACCTTTTTAATAAGAGAACCAACAGCAACATTTCCTTGTCATGAAATGGTGTGTTAAGGCGCTGGATCCTCCAGCAGACATTGTCTTATAACTGCTTGTGTACTTGATTTCAAACCCCTCCAACTCCAGTTTTCCCTAGTGCCTGAAAAGAATTGATGTGATTTTGAAACCAGGTATGTAAACAGTCAGTCTTTCCTCCTTGGGTCTGCATTTTCCCTTTTCTCTGTCTTCTAGGGGAGATTTTTCACTTTAATTTTTGTGTGTGATATGTCTTCATTTGTGACATACAAGTCTTTTGTGCTGATCAGTGTGTTCTGGGTGGTTGTAGTTATTAATGCTCTTTGTCTTTGGTTTTTAACACTTACTTGAACTGGTACTTCTTGTCTGGGATTTAACTGTTTGCCCCCCCGAGCAGCAGTGTGTTCAAACATTGTGCAGAGATGAAGAATAAGTAAATTGATAATCTTAATTTGGAAAAGATACTCTGATTAAAAGGAGTGTTTTCATTAGAAGATAGGTGTTTCCTTCTTAAGGGAAGCAGGGGCGAGAAGAGTTCTTTTAGCTCTTGATTCTGGTAGGTTTGGCTCTGTATCTTGGTCCTGTGTGTTGGATAAGAGCATTTGTAGCATTAAAGTTGGTGATTGTGGAATTCCAGATAAAGTTACATAAAATCAGAGCTTAGCAGTAAAGACCCTTGAGGCAGGTCCTGGTGCTCTTTGAGTGCTTGGTATGGTGGTGAGGGATGGACCCAAATCAGAGTGAATAGCTCTAAAATCTAGTTGAGTGAAAGGTGAATTTCCAAATTTTGCTGATGTGTCCCACCTCCATCCCTCATTATTCCACATAAAGCATCAAATGCTGTTTTGCTAGTTGTGAAATGACTAGATAAAAAGTGGGAATACCATTGCAGAGGCTTCTTTATCCTATGGTCAGATCTCTATCATAAAGAAGGATATGGCCAAGGAAGTTTGGGTTTGTGTCTCTCCATTGTAGATATAAACTGCTCTATGTGATACAGATGCTTGAAGTGGATTAAGATGACTTAAGCATCTTAAATGCTATTTATAATGCCAAAATCAAGGACATAAATTGAAAGATTAAAAAAAATGAGTTTGAAAAAAGGAAATGTGTGTTCTCTTACTGAGGGTTGTAGTTCTTCAAATGCAGCCAGTCTTGGCTAGAGTAGGAACAGTGTAATTTCCATCATGGACAATATTAGGTCAAGGCTGGAGTCTTGTGAAATTCTCACCTGAGGCAAACATGACTGTAATTCCAAGTTATTTTGTTGTTGAGTGGATGCAGAGCCTAGGTAGAAGGATTTGGTGGAAAGGATTATGGCACACAAATTGAGAACTGGTGGGGATTAAGATGTTTTGAGGCAGAATTAGAGGTGTAGGTTTCCATGCCTGGAGTTACAGAGCAAGGCTGTGAGAGCTGGCTCAGGGGGACTGGGATGTGTGACAAGGAGGGGGAAAGGTAAGATACCTTGCATAGCATAGAGTGATCTAAGTTGATGTGATGGGTGAGGAATTAGGTGGTTAAATGGTATTGAAAGGGTAGGAAAACAAGATTAAATACGCTGGAGAAAAATGAGCTGAGAGAGGACAGTTGGATCCTTAGTGGGATACTTACTTTATTTAGGAAAATTGGTAGGATGATAGTCCTAGAAATCAGAAAAATGCATGACATCTTTTCTAATTGGGGTGCATTACTTGCACTGAAATACATTCTGGCTAAACCAAAGCCATACAGAAAACCTTTTATATATAGTAGTGTTATAGAAGTATGAGAGGGGACCCTATAAGGCATCCTGAGGAATCCAGCCAGTTCTCAAGGTATGAAACAGAATGGAGGATGTGTGCTCAGAGTCTCTGAAACTAGGCTGGTTTTTGTTTGTTATTTTTGTGATTTTCTTTTGTTTGGTTGGTGGATTTGTTTGTTTTGTTTTGTTTTGTTTTGTTTTTTTAAGTAAAAGAGTTCTCTGAAACTTCAGATTTAGTCCAAGTGTTTGTCTGTTTCTTTTCTCACATTAAAGAAAAAAAAAGAGGACACAAATCTTTGGAGCAATGGGGGACATGATGTTTGGATTCAAAGATTTTGGTCCCATGCAGTTCCTGTTAGTATTAGTCTGTGAAGTATGTAGCGACTGAAAGTTTGATTTTTGTCTTGAAGTTATGTTGCTTGTAGTGATTCAGATTTTTTCCCTGAGTACTGAGCTGTGTGTAACAACTCTTCCATTGGTGTACACACTGTCGCTTACATTTCTAAACTCATTGCTCCCTGCCTTTGAAGCTAGAGAATGATGTTATCTTGAGACTTAGCCTTTATATGTGTTCTGCCTACTAGAGAGATAAATATCTGGCCTCTGTCAGTCTGTGCTACCAAAAGGTTGTTTATAGTGTGGCTAACTATTTATTCCATACAAATCACAATTGTCAGAATCACATTGTGCAGAAATTGTCAGCAAATGGGTTTACAGTGTGCCTGAGGATGCTGATCAGATATGGTCAAACCATGCTACAACTCCCTTGGGGGTGAAATGCATTGATTTGCATCCCAGGGAAACCAGGATGTTTTTCAGGTGTTTGGCTCTTGGCCTCACATGGAGTCATGCAATTTGGAGAGTACCTGGAGCTGGAAGGACCTCAGGTACCCACTCTCAGGTACATACATTCTGCTACAGTGCTGCTGGGTGCTGCCTTTGAGCATCTGTAAAGAAGCATATCAAGTAAATATTCCCAAAACTAGACAGAAGGACAAGCTTTTGGCCAAAGGAAAATGCTTCCATGAATTAAGTGTTAAATTCAACTGAAAAAGTCACTTCTACTATTTGGAAAAATAGCATTTTGTTCTCTTCAGTGGGAAATTTTACTGAGATTAATGAATTTATGAGTTTGTCATGAAACAAAACATTTAAAACAAAAAGCTTGATCTCATCTGTGCCAGAGACATGGTCCTAAAATGACATATCACATGCTACAAAGAATGGGATGAGAAGTCATGGTGGTAGATACAGATAGCCAAACAGATGGTTTTCAAATGATTTGTATAAAAGATCATCCTTTCTGCAAAACACTCTTTGTGAGCTGATGGCTGAAAGTGAAGGCATAGAAACTAAAATGGGCCAACCCCAAAGTTCTCTGCCTGTTGTTTAATAATGTAAGACTACATGACCCAGTGGCCTTTAAAATTTACTGATCTGTGCAGGGCATATTAAGGCCTGGACTTCTTGTAATTGTAATTTTCTTTTAATTACTATTATCAATCTATTTCAGTGGTGGCAGAGACTTCTTTGTATCACTGCAATTAATAGCAACTAGAATAGCAAAGTCTGTAAATTGAAAGCAAATAAAAGCTGAT